CATCTCCCATCTGGCCGCCCATCTGTATCCTGGGTAACACTCTCTAGAGTAAAGGGGTGAATGTAAGTGGGGCCGCCCTGAGTTCTGTGAGCCGCTCTAGAAAAGTAATCGAACCCGAGGAGGGGGATCACGAGAACCCCAACTGATAGCCGGTCAGTCAGGGTCACAGGTCACAACCTAGGACTTGCAGTTGAGGCCAGGCTCATAGGACTGAGCCCTTAACCTGTAGGACCTGACGCCCTATTCAGGTAGGTGGTGTCAGATTGGACTTAATTAGAGGACACCCAGGCAGGGTCTGCTACTGATCCATCTGCTTGGCTTGTGGGGGAAAAGCCAGTGTCTGGAGTCAGGTGTGGATGAAGTGCGATCAGGGCAAACCCTGGCTTTTCCTAGCCTTAACAGTAATGTCCGGGCCCCGCCTGTTTGCCTGTTCCATAGCAAACTGAGCTGCAGGGCTGGGAGCCACAGTAATGATTAAACTCAACATTCATTTCTTATTCATCTAACAAGCATTTTGGAGCCCTGACTGGTGCCAGGCATTGCTCTGGGCACTAAGGACATAGTGAGTCCTGGGTAAGACCAAGTCTCTGTCCTCATGGAGCAGTCTGTAGGGAGAGACAGCTGTTAATTAAATAGCCACTGAGTAAGTCCGATGATTGTAGGCTGGAGTAATGAAGACAAGTAAACAAGGGGAGGGAGGGGAGAGGGGCTGGTGAGAGGAGGGGTACCCTGAAGAGGACGTCCGAGAACAGCCTCCCTGAAGGGGCAACGTATGACCCAAAACCCAAGGAGTGAGAGAGGATGAGTGTGCAAAGAACTGAGGGCACAGTGTCCAGGAGTAAGGAACAGCAAGTGCAAAGCACACACTAGCTTGGCGGCCTTGAGGAACAGGAAGGGTTTTGGGGAGCCAGAGTGTGGCAAGGGAGGGGAGATGGCAAGAGAGCAGCTCCTGGGTACACAGCCAGGGCACAGGCCACAGTGAGGATGGTGACCCTTACCCCAAGTGAGATGGGAGCCAGGGGACGGTTTTAAACACTAGTCTCCTAATACGACTTATCCTTTAGAAAGAACATCCTGACTCCCAAGTGAGTCAGGAGGCAAAATGAAAAGAGATGACTAAGTCAGAGACTATGGCGGGGGTCCAGCTGAAAAACGGCTGTGGCCTCGGCTAGCATCAAACCCAAAAGATGCGGGAACCAGCAGTTAGCGTAATGGCTATGTCGCTGGATTCCCACGTAGTCGACCGCGGTTCGTGACCCGGACCTGGTGGCTTAAAACTCACGCCAGGTGCATGTGCGTGCATGCCCAAGATCCCGAGAGGAGAATGGAGGAGAAGGGATTGCGGAGTGACCATCCCCCCTGGGGGGTGATTTCTCGCATTCTGTCTCTATGTCTCTCTGTCTGTCTGGCAAGCGCACACGCCCTATAGCGAAAACCTCTCAAAAAAAAAACAAAACAAACAAACAAAAAAACCCAAAAGATGCCATAGGTCTATGTGAAACGCACAACTAGAATGGCCAGGCAAACTAAGACAAAACACTGGGGCAGGCAGATATTTTGCAGGGCGGAAAGGGCGGGTGAGTGAGGGCCAAGAGGGCATGAGGCAATGGCAGTGAGGAGGTGGCATCTGAGCAGGGCCTTGGAATCATGCATCCAAGCATGTCAGGCGGCAGGAGGTGAGGGCGGGAAGGGGCGATCTAGCTGGAACTCATGGCCCAGAGGCCGTGGTGAAGGCCAAAGGTCTCTGAAGGCCTAGCTGTGTAGCAGAACAACCAAATGTTGAGGAGCAGACTGCTGAGGTTCAAATCCCAGCTCCCCGACTTCCTGAGTGACTGCTTTGTGCCTCAGTTTCCTCATCTGTAAAGCGGAGATAATATGAACCTGTGAGCGCGAAGTTCTCAGGAAGTGCCTGGCACACGTGGTCACACCACACAAAGGGCAGTTTGTGTTAGTGTCGTGGTTATTGCCCTAGTCACGCCAGGAGGGAAGTCACAGACGGAGTTGGTGCCAGGGCCTAAATCTTGGAGAAAGTGGCCTTTGGTAAGAATATGTGGGGTGCAAATAAAATAATTATTTAAAACGACAAAAAAAGAGCCAGCAGGTGGCGTGGTGGTTAAGGGCACTAGACTCCCACGTGATTGTGGTTGACAGCAGTTCGAGTCCTAGACCTGGCTGCTCACTTTGTCACTTTCTCTCTCTCTCACTCTGTCCTTCTCTGGTCAAATTACAATAAATAAATAAAGTTAAATAAAATAATTCTTATTAAAAAAATAGAATATGCGTGATGCAACATCTGCCCCAGACTCCTGGGGGCCCCTGAACAAGTCAGCCCACCCTCTTCTCCTGGTTCTCATCTATGAAGTGGAGAATCCGAGTGTAAGGAAGAGACAGGAGCGAACACGGTCTGTGAGCGCCTCCTTCTAGCGGGCGCCTGCCGGGAGGGCCAGCCTGGTGCAGGGAGAGGCCACATGGCTGCCTTGAGCCAAACCCCACCGACTATCATGTTTGAGAGGCAGCGAGTACCTGAAGACTGCTCTGCGGGCTATGGCAGAGCCAGCCCACCCGGCCTCCTTGCGAACACCCTCGTCCACACCGCCTGCAGGTCCTCACGGCCACCAAGCCCTCAAAGTGGCATCGCAAGGGGCCTCCATCTTCATAAAAGCAGCCAGGATAAGGTCTGAGCAATGCACCTGTTGCTGTACACAGGCACACACACGCGCGTGTATAAGCACACTATACACACATCCACATGGGCAAACGATCCTGGCATGCACATACATGAACACATCTATGTACATGCACACACAGGCCTTACATTCTCACAAGCGCACACATGTGTACCGGCTCCATGCCCATGCATGCTCACACAGCTCATTCACCAGCCTGCACACACATGGAAGCCCTTGTTCCTCCGTGAGCACACCCACCCTCAACTAGATAAACGCACATGTGCACGCCCCAGGCCCTGCTTCCTGCGAGCCAGTCGGGGGCAGAGTTGACCCTGGAGTCCCGAGGCCTCGGGGATTATGGGCTGTACACCCGAGAGGCAGAGGTACAGGAGAGGAAAGTGCAGCAGGGCTGGGCCGGGGGCTTGGATCTAACCCAGCTCTGCCCCTCACAGGAAGTGAGCCCTCAGTGACTCGGCCTAAGCTTCGGCCTCCTCATCCGCCCAGGGAAGGTGAGCAGGAGGCCGTTTCGGGGGAGGCTTCTCAGCTAGCACGCGGAAGTGCTCGGTGCAGAGCCGCAGTAACTGCTCGGCAGATACCAGCTGCTCGCTAGCGACCTCATCGGGACGTGTCCCAGTGAGCTCAGTTTGGAAATCACGACCGACAGTGGCTGCCTTTGGGATGGCCACACGAGGAGGGGGAACTGAGGAAGCAGAGGCGGTCCCTTCCACTGAAAGCCTGACTGGGGTGTCCAGGCTCTTCTGGGGGGTCAAGGGCCCAGGGGGTTTCCTGTCACTTGTCCCTCAGTCCCATGAAGGCCACTTGGCTGGAGCTCTCTGAGGAGACAGGGTCACCAGCCTCCATGACATATGGCCCCTTGCCTTTGCCAGCTGCCTGGGGGTGGACACCACAAGCTCAGCCCCACCAGCTGGGGGCATAGGTGGCCACACAGCCTGTGCTTAAGGACTTCCCCTGGGACCGGCAGATGGCACAATGGTTACATCACTGGACTCCCGCAAGGCCAACCACAGTTCAAGTCCTGGACCCGGTGGCTTGAAACTCATGCCTGGCAGTGGGACATGCCCAAAAGCCCAAGAGGAGAATGGAGGAGAAGGGATTGTGGCATGACCATCCCCCCTGGGGGGTGATTTCTCACTTTCTATTTCTCTGTCTCTCTGTCTTTCCGGTGAACACATGCACCCTAGAGCAAAAATCTCTCTTGAAAATAAACAAACAAACAAACATCAACGTCCCCTCAGCTGAGCATCCACACTTTCCATGTTGGTACTGTGTATACAGCTGGGCTACTGCCTCAGCTTCCCTCCCCTGACTCCCAGGACCAGGGCTCTCCATGACTCTCCATGCTGTTTGAAGAGACCTGCACACCTGTGTCTCTCTGCAGCTTTACTGCTGGTGGCAGAGGGTAGGCAGGTGGGGAGGTGGGCACGCACCCCCGCGTCTCTGTAACAGCTTACCACCCACTATCCATTCTCTGTTCTTCCATAATAACCAAACCCCTTAGCTGGGGACAGCATGGCCCAGGGTAAAGACCACATTTCCCAGCCTCCCCTGCAGCTAAGTGTGGCCATGTGAGAAGTTCTGGCTAAGGAGACACACACAGGTGTTGGGGGGACACTTCAGGGAACCTTAGACATGGCATGAAACCTTTGCCTTTTCTTCATTACCCTGTTCCATACTGTTGCCTGGAATGCAGATGTGACAGCTGGCACTCTAGCTGCCATTTTAGACCATGAAGACAAAGGCCATAGGAGATGAAGAGGAACAACCCTGAGGACTTCATGTGGCCAGCTTCTGATCACCCAGGGACTCCCTTGCACAATCAGGGCACTGCTGTCATGTGGCCAGCTTCTGATCACCCAGGGACTCCCTTGCACAATCAGGGCACGGGTGGGGGCTCGGAGTCTACTACTGGGCCCTGCACACCAAGACCTCTGGAGGCAGCATCCAATCAGACTGGCCTTCCCCATACCTGAGACTGGTCACCCGGCTTCTGCCACCCAGGATCTCAAACTCCCACAGCAGGAAGTAAATCCCCAACCCTGAGCCCAACTCACACACACCCACCTTGCCACCCCTATAGTCCCAGCATGCACTGGACCTCAGGAAGGGGTGAGGATCCTTAGGAACCCAGAAGGCCCTCCTCTGCCTGCCTCTCCCACTTCGCCAAACGCTCCAGGACCTCAGAGCTTTGCCACAGGATGCCTGGTTCCAGGGAGGCTGAAGGAGAAACCCCCAGGCTGTGGGAGGCGAGTGGGCAGGGAAGGTGCTTCCAGGGAGGGTAGGACTGGCACACCCGAGCTGGGCCACACTCACCTTTCTCTGACGCGGGGGCCAGGTCAATGAAGCTGCGACATTTCTCACCTTCAAAAAGAAAAAAAAAGGTTTTCAGAAGGCAGAAGGACATGTGGGCCCAGGTTCTTGCCTGCCCACCTTCTTGATCCATATTGTCAGGAACCCCACGTCCCAGGAGTGCAGGTGGCAGACCTGCCAGCTGCCACCTCCCAATCCAATCCACGTGGTCCTGTTACTCCCATTTCCTCTATGGTCCTTGGGCTCCTTTGCCCAGCCTCCGCCCCAGTCCAGGCTCCTCCCCACTGGCCTTCCCAGGCCTCCACTCTGACTTTGATCCAAGCTGCTCTCCACACTGCAGCCAGAGGGACAGTTTCAAACCAGGTAGCTCTGAGCTCTGGTCATAGCTAACCATGCACACGTACCCACAGGCACACTACTGCTTACACTCCTGCCTGAAGGAGAAAGCCCAGATTCCCAGGATGGGCCCCAGACTGGCTTCCTCGGCCTTCCGCACACAGCCCCAATCATGGCCCTCTCCCTTCCCTTCCCTCGGTCCCTTGTGCTCATACTCCCTCCCCCTGAGAGCCTTGCACATGCAGCTCCCCTGCCTGGAACATCCGTCCCCCATCATAACTCTCAAGTCACCTTGGCTGACTCGTGTGGGGCACCCAGTCACAGTGTGATTCTTGGATGTCTGTTTACTAATGCCTGTTTGCCCCCACTAGCTGCATTCTCCAGGAGGGCAGGGCCAGGTCTTCAGTGCACCCCCAGCTCCGTGAACGGCACCTCCGTCCTCGTAGGTGCTTGGGCCCAGAACCCTGGCTTCATCCTTGGTTTCACTCTTTCTTGGACCTGTGGCTCCAGCCTCCCAGTGTATCTAGGCCCAGTCCCTTCTCACCCCCTGGCCCACTCCAGCCCCTTCATCACCCACATGCATAGTCTCTGCACGGTCTTCCTGCTCCCGCCCTTGTCCACGCAGTGACTAGAGGTTCCGCTGTACCCGGAGGTAATGTCCCTGTCCACTCAGAACCTTTCCATGATTCCCAAGTCACTCAAGTCGGAGCCTGAGCCCTCGTAGTGGCCTGCGAGACCCGACGTGTTTTGTCTGCCCACGCCTCTCTGACCTCTTCTGTAATCTTGCCCTCACCCACTTCCCTCCAGCCACACTGGCCTCCTTGCTAATCTCTGTACACGCAGGGCGTGCTCCAACCTCAGGGCCTTGGCACTTGCTATGTCATCCACATGGAGCATTCTGCCCTAGAAAGCTGACTCGCTTACTTCAAATGTGATCCTTTTTCTCTTTAATCGATATCAAATTCCAACATCCCCTCAACACGCCACATCCCCCTTCCTGCTAGATTTCCTAGCACCTAGGGAGTGCCTGGGGCCTGGTGCATGTTCAATAAATATTTGCTGAAGGAGTATATGAATGAGCACATGAACCAATGGGCCCGTGGACAAATGCCTGGGTAAATGCCGTCCGTGGAAACCTTACGCCTATAAGAAGCTTCAGTTCTCCCGTTTCCCGAGGCACTGTCCTGGCCACCAAGGACACAGTGATGAGCAAGGCGCGCACAACCTCTAGACCCTTTCCCACGAAGAGAGGGCATGCGCACTGGCCCCTGCTCTCAAACACCCTTGGTTTGGCCTACGGTGACGAAGTGTAAAAAGCGAAGGAAAAGTGATGCCTACAAATCCAGATTTCTTGTTTTCGCTCAAAGAATCAGAAGATCTAGCCACACTGGGTCCACACTCACACAGCAGCAAGCCAGGGGCCGGGCAGATGTGCCCCCTTTGGATGGGGTACCCGCATGCCCTCTAGTTTGGCACAGCCCCGCTGTGCCTTGTGGTCTTACCCTAGCCTCATTGATACCACGCAGATGGACCTAGAGCCGCTAGTTCAGGTGACCTGCAGGGAGCATTTGCAGGCCCTGGCTTGAGGATTTTACTACTGATCTCAGCAAGGAGATAGATGAGGTCAAGGAACCAAATGGAATGGGTTGCAGGGAAAGAAAAGGTGGAAATCTGCAACAGCCTGAACTCTGAGTCTGCTCGAAGCTTCCAAAGTGCCCAGGTTGGTCCCTACAAGCTGTGTGGGCTCCTGAGCTTCCGGCCAGCTCTACATACATACAAAGGCCAGTGGGGAGCAATGGTGGGAGACTGGCCGAGAAGGAAGGCAGAGGCCAGGGCACAAAGGGCCTTGAGGGTCGAGCCCAGGAGCTGCCGCCTCTTTCCTAAGTCACTCCTTCCAGAAACCATGTTTCCAAGTCTTCATATGGACAAGTTGCATTTTTGGGGAGTTTTATTGTTTGTTTTTTAGAGAGAGATGTTTTTCTATAGGGTGCATGAGCTCACCAGAGGGAAAGACAGAAAGCAAGAATTCACCCCCATCCCTTCTCCTCCATTCTCCTCTTGGGATTTTGGGCATGAATGAACACACATCTGGTGTGTTTTAAGCTCTCGGGTCCAGGACTCGAACCACGATCAACTTCGTGGGAGTCCAGCGACATAACCATTACACCATTTTCTGGTCCCCACGTTGACAAGTTTTCATTTCTCTTGGGTCTATACCTCAGAGGAAGTCAGGCAGCAATGCTGTTTAGTCTTTTGAGGGACCATTAAACTATTTAAAGCTTTGAAGTCCAAGAGTTTATGTTTTAACCAAGATCGATTTATCTATTTTTTCTTTTGTTGCTTGTGTTTTCGATGTTATATCTAAAAGGCTTTGCCTACCCAAGATCATGATGATTTACTATTATTCTTTCTCCTAAGAGTTTTGTAATTTTCACTTTTCCATTTAGGTCTCTTATTCACTTAAAGTTGATTTATGTGTATGGTACACAAAAGGGGCCTGACTTCACCTTTTATTTTTTAATTTTATCCTTTTTTAATGTGGATATCTAGCTGTCCCTGCACCATTGCTGAAAAACTATTCTTTTTCCCATCAATTGTCTTAGTATTCTTGTCAAAAAGTAATTGACATAGAAGGGGAAGGTCTAACATTGGCACAGCGGTAAAATGCAACCCTCTGTTTAGCTACCCTACATGGGACTCATATCTGGAGACCTCTCTGAATTCGCTGGGCATACACATACCCATGACTCAGGGCTGGCTGAAGCAGGGGGTGGATCACTGCATCAAGATCTTGTTGGGAGTGCTCTGTGTGTGTGTCTGTTTCTCTCATTCATATAAGAAGTAAATTAATAATTTGCTTTTTTTAAAAGCTGACAGGACCAGCAGATGGCATAATGGTTACATCACTGGACTCTCACATGGTTGACTGTGGTTCGAGTCCCAGACCCAGCTTAAAACTCATGCTGGGAGTGTGTGCATGAATGCCCAAAATCTCGAGAGGAGAACGGAAGAGAAGGAATTGCAGTGTGACCATCCTCTGGGGGATGATTTCTCACTTTCTGTCTCTTTGTCTCTCTCTGTCTCCCTAGTGAGCACATGTACCTATAGCAAAAATCTCTTTCTCAAAAAAAAAAAAAGAAAGAAAGAAAGAAAAAAAAAACCTGACTATAAGTGTGAAGAGTTTATTTTATACTCTTAATTCTATTCCATTGATCTATATGTTTATCCTTATACCAGTATTATATTCTCTTGATTACTATACCTTAGCAGTAGATTTTTTTCGGGGGGGGGGGTTGCTATAGGGCACGTGTGCTCACCAGAAAGACAGAGAGAGACAGAAAGACAGAAAGTGAGAAACCATCCCCCCAGGGAGGATGGCCACACCGCAATCCTTTCTCCTCCATCTCCTCTCGGGATCTTGGGCATGTATGTACATGTGCCGGGCGTGAGTTTAAGCTACTGGGTCTGGGACTCAAACCGCAGTCAATTACATGGGAGTCCAATGACATAGCTATTACGCCAACTGCTGGTCTCTAGCAATAAACTTTTAAACTGAGAAATATGAGTTTTCCAACTTTGACCTTCATTTTTAAGATTGTCTTGGGGCTGGCCCCATAACGCAGCAGTTAGATGCTATGCAGAGAAAATTGATCCTGCATGGCCAATCCATATTTAAGGCCCAGCTCACAAAACATACCAGGCACAGAATTGGATCTTCTCTCTCTTTCTCACATGTGTGTATACTTTTCTAGACTTTTTTTTTTTTTTAAGATTGTTTTGGTTATTCTGTGTTTTGCATTTCTATTGAATTTTAGGATCAACTTGTCAATTTCTGCAAAAAAGAAAGTTGGGATTTCCATAGACATTGTAATGAATCAGTAGCTCAACTTAAGACATATTGCTATCTTGGGACCAGCAGTTGGTGTAGTGGCTATGTCACTGGACTCTCATGTAGTTGACCATGGTTCGAGTCCCAGAGCCAGTGACTTAAACTCACACCAGGCACGTGTGTGTGCATGCCCAAGATCCTGAGAGGAGAATGGAGGAGAGGGGATTGTGGTGTGGCCATCACCCCTGGAGAGTGATTTCTCGCTTCCTGTCTCTCTGTCTTTCTCTGTCTTTCTGGCAAGCACACGCGCCCTATAAAAAAATAAATAAAATAAAGAGAAGAAGAAGGAAATAAAAGAGGAAGTATTGCTATCTTAGCTATTAAATCCTTCAATCCATGAACATAGGCTGTCTTTCCTTTTACTTTGATCTACTTTAATTTCTTTCAACAATGTCTTGTAGTTTTCAGAGTATAGGTTTTGCACTTCTTTTGTTAACTTTATTCCTAAGTATTTTATTCTTTTAAATAAAATAAAGAGAAGAAGAAGGAAATAAAAGAGGAAGTATTGCTATCTTAGCTATTAAATCCTTCAATCCATGAACATAGGCTGTCTTTCCTTTTACTTTGATCTACTTTAATTTCTTTCAACAATGTCTTGTAGTTTTCAGAGTATAGGTTTTGCACTTCTTTTGTTAACTTTATTCCTAAGTATTTTATTCTTTTTAATGCTGTATTATAAACAAAACTGTTTTCTTAATTTCATTCTTGTTCTACTGTATAGAAATATAAATTTTAGTATATTTATCTGAATCCTGTCCTTTTTATAAATTAATTTATTAGTTCTATTAGTTTTTAGTAGGCTCTTAGGATTTGCTATATACAAGATCATGTCATCTGCAAAAAGAAATCATCCTTTTTAAAAATAATTATTCATTTAATTTTGTTTGTTATTATTTTTTTTAATTTGACCAGAGACAGAGAGAGACCGGTACCTCAAGCACCATGCCA